TATGAAAATTTATTCTATTTGTTTTCATTTAAGGTGTGATTCAAAGTAGTAACCGTTGTTTTGGAGGGAGCATTCAAGGGTTCAATGAGGCCAGCACTTTAAGAAAAAAATTCTCTGCTAATGAGAAAGCACTACCAAATCTTCCTAAGAGATGTTTATAAATATATTATCCTATAGATGGAAATAATTCACACACTTTGTGCTTGATTCTTAGTTGTATCAGTTTTAAAGCTTCTATAGCTTACTCTAATTTTCTCCTTTATGACCAATAAATAGGTTAGACGATCCCGATAAAGGTAAGAGCAGAATGGAATCTGCATTAACAACGGATGAGTAAAAACATTCTGAACGGTGCGAATCAATGCAAACTATTCGCAGTGAATACTAGTAAGTATGATGGCATGAAGCCAACTATACAACGAACTTTGTAAGCCATCGTCAGATTTCTCATGAGAATGACATTAAACTATGACCTTGAAAAAGTGGAGCTCCTAAATCTCAACAATGGCAAGAACCGACACATTAAATTTAAAAAGCACCATGAGGGATCAATGTCAAGAAAAAGAAGCATGAATAGTAAAGACTACCTGAATTCTGCAATAAAAAGAATGATTTCACAAATTAAGAAAAAAAATCTTAATATTATTATAGAATTTTATCCAAAACATTCCTATATATGATCACAACCATTGATTCCTACTGACATTCATACCAATCAAAGTAAGTCGATAATCACAAGCTTGATACAAGAAGAAACAAGGAGGATGTTCACAGACATTAAGGAGGTCCACTGAGCAAGTACAGTGGAGATCAGAGACACATTGGCAGAGATCAAGGCACTTGAGGAGGAGTTTGAGCAAATCAGGTTCAAACATGTGTTCAGAGAAAGCAACAGGGCTGCAGACTAGCAGCACAAAGAGAGGATCAGGATCCATGTTTTGCTTTCTGTAATGCTTTCCGTAAGGAAATGTACATCATCCTTGAACTGGATGCTAGTGGAAATGTTTACACTAGATGGCCGTAAGCACTAGTTGTAGAAAGGATTGTAACGTAGATTGTAATATCTTGTTTCATTATTATAAACTGGCAGGGGTCTGTCTAAGCCAGCTTGCTCGTTGGAAAATAAATAAATAAACTAGGTCGGCAATCGACACCCCTTAGGCCACTCATAAGTCATAATTTTCCATCCCACGCCAATACGCCATACAATGTGATGCACCTTTAGCTAATCACTAAGGAGAATAGACTTTGATATAACTAAATGGCAAGAGTCATTACTTAGACCTTTCCATATTACGAAATACAGTATTAAACACCAATATTACCACAATTAAAAAACACATCATGAAAATATTGACCAAATAATTCCCCGAATCGGCCCACCTTGATCCCATCACTCATGAATTCGGATAGACATATCCAGACATCCCAAACATCTAATCAAGACTGTAAGATTTGGCATTTAAACTTCCATGTGGACATGACTATATATAGATAATAGGATTGGGTAGCTATACTCTCCAAGTAGTAATTACTAGTTACCATTTCATCATATGATTTTCCCGATTTTCCCACATAACATTACCTACCTTGCACCGCTTAGACGAACAAGGCATTGACTGAGTCAATGTAAAGCAAACATTTCCTACATGGACAATACTAGTTTGTCTAATGACTGACCAAACCCTTCCATGCAGTTGAGTACGGACTCCATGGAAGGTATGAGTTTTGCCTTAGTTAAGTGTAAGTCATATGTTCATTACTGTTACTGACTTACTGGTCGATGATTCACCTATATTTGCATAAGATCGTCAAAACCTAGAGATTCCCTACATAGACAAGCATAAAGCTTTAGCTTCTGTTAATACCATAGATAATATAAAAACTATGACTACTTTTACGTATATTTAGTATTAGGATCCATTTCAAAATGTTGCCATGTTATAAATCATGTACATTGTATATACTATATGGTATTGATGTACGTATATGCCTATTACTTTTGTCAAATAAAAACAAAAAAAATATTTGCACCTAGCTGCTTTACTAAGTCATAGTTTTTTTCAAAAAATATGGTATGTGACAGTTATATAATTGCTGTGGGCAGAAGATAATCAAATTCAATATCATATGCTTTGTTCCAAATTTGATTTGAGTTTTGTAAATAACAAATTTCTATCTAGGACCCATGTCTCTCTACACCGGAACTCCACCTAATAGGAAGTAACTAACAAGCACTAAGCATCAGAAATCATAAATTTCATACCCATTTCAAGGCAAACAAGCAACCTAACACTAGACTTCTTGTCAACAACAACAAATTAACCATTAATCCCAAGCAGACAAATTTCAACTACATACATAGAACCAAACATGAACATCTCAAAGTCGTTTATAAGCACAGATAATATTCATTCAACCAAACAACACGAAATAAATCAATAAACTTAAAGTAAGCTATTACCTTTCTTAAAGCTCCTAACTTGTTTGCTCTGTGATCAATCTTGCTCACATTTTAGCTCCAAATCAAACCATATTTGGCAAATCAGGTCTTCAATTCAACCTCACTTTGAATTCAACGATCATTTTTTGTGGGGGAAATTTTTTACCCTCTTTTAACATAACAGACTTTCGATTCAATTTGCAGAAATTGAATCGCTTTAAGATATAATTACGAAAACTTGGTCTAGGGTTTCGAATAGATTCAACGAAATAAATAGAAATTTGAAGAGAAACGATCAAAAGAATTGGTAATAGATGAGAAACGCGTCAAAACCCCGTTCAGATCGTATAAGCAATGAGAAAAAGGAGAGAGATAGAGACAGACTGACAGAGTCACAGAGCCCCCATATTCATTTTGGGCTATATGAAGAAGGTCCAGGCCTTATATAAAACGGGCCCACGGTCTGAAGGCTGAAATTGAGAAACATAAATTGCAAACCAGTCTGGCTTTGAAATCCATGGGAGGCCCATCTATCAAAATCCATGGGGTTCAGCCGTTCAGGTGCGGACTGTCCGCATACGAACTGAGGGCAAAACAGTAAACAATGAGTTTTTTTTTTTTTTCATTAAAGATTATCCCTAAAGTGGGTAGTTTAACCAGGTTTTTTTAAAACCCATTTGGGATCCGGTTTTGTTTCATCGTCTTCTATCTTTACTCTCTAGTCTCCAGTCTCCACTTTCTTCCTCGTTTTATCAGTACTTTTTTTTTATCTTCCCAACTCTTTCTATACATTGTATTGGTTTTTATTTCAACATATCAAAAAAAAATCTGAAGAGGTTCCATGGATTCCAAACAAAATTCACCCTCTTCGTCTTTGGTTATTCTTGGTTTATATCCTTTTAATCTTTCTTTAATCAAACAGTTAATTAACTCAACAGTCATAAGATTTGCAATTTCAAATCATTTCACCAAAAACCTATACTTGCATATTCAAAACTTCATTGAATAATACCCACCCACTGTTTATAGGATTCACAATTTCACATTGTGCTTTTGGGACCCATTACCAACGTGAGATGTAGAGAAGGAAGAAAGATCATGGAAATCAAATTTTTTTTAAGGGGTTTTAAACTTTGGGGCACCCAATAATGGCCTAATTAGATTTTGGTCCAACTTAATCCATTAATTTGACTTTAGGGCTATTTCTGTTAGTTGACTGCGTTGACTATTAGTTAACTCGAATCAAAACCAACAATTTTATATAAATGACATAAATACCCCTGCACGTGTTATGTACGTGACATTTTGGAATATTTATACTGACTGAAGGCACATGCTCTGCACGTGACACCCCAAAAATTAAAACTTAAAAAATTAAAAAATATTAAACTTAT